GGGGAGGTGGAAAAGACGACGGAGAAGAACCAGTCACTGTCCACTGGAAATCGATGGAACGGCTTTTTTCTTTTCCCCCTAATCGCCGTGTCAACCTGTCATCCAACCATTAACTAATCGGGTTTTTTTTCTGTTTTTGTTTTTTCAAACCTGTCGAATTCACGCATCGAACGATTTACCCGTTCAAGAAACAAAAACCGAAAAAAATAATACTGTAAAATTTACCCGTTTATCGGTTTATATCCGCTCATAAATCCCACTCAAACTCTCTGCACATACGTTGCTGCAATCAAATCAATTAATCGTCACTGACGACGACGACAACAACGGTCACGCCACGAGGCTCACGACCATTAGTCATCTTTTTCATCGACTCTATCATGGATAGCTCAGAGTCTAAAGATCGACAAACATGACCAGTTTTTTTTGTTTTTTTTTTGAGGGCGGGGGGGGGAGGGAGCTTTCTATCGAATCGGACCAATTTTTAGTATTTAGTATATAACATTCAGTCTATTTAGTATAGTATTCAGTCTATTTAGTCCTTGTATAGATGTAGCTGCGTGTATAGATGTACCTACACTTGTATAGATATACCTGTGGACCTACCTTAAGCTATAGGTGATACGTAAAAATTCTCGTAGCGCATACTAGTTGCTCTGGAGAGCTCCCACAATAAGCAACCCATAGATTGATCCTCTTAGGGCACACACTAGCGACCTTGCTCGAGGAATCTCACCGCAATCACGACCAGATCAGTTCAGAAAAAAAAAACTGGCACAAAAGTGTGAGTACACCCTTCGCTCTTCCAAGCTCTTAGCTTACTCCACCGCCGAGTCGCTGTTGCGATCCCGATCGATCAATTATGAATACCCCACCGACGATGGGATCAGTCGGAATCAATCAGTCGGGATCTCGTCGATCTATCGCTGCATGCATCAGACCCGTTCAAAGCTGATGCCTATATGTACATATACAATGTATATTTAGCCTCTGCGGCGTCGGTGAAACTCCGACAATGGCAAACAGTCTGTCACAGTCCCCCGTCTATTGTCCTCTTCTCGTGCATGCATCAGATATTAGATAGATAGATAGATAGATAGATAGATAGGTGGATAGATAGACAGATAGACAGAGACAGATATATAGACACTGTCAGATAGATATGGATAGACAGATATAGATAGATAGATAGATAGATATGGATAGATAGATAGATAGATAGAGATAGACAGATAGATAGATAGAGATAGCGAATTCGGGAATCAGGATTCTATCAGTGGCGGCGAACAATGGATAGCTCTACGAGTGCCTGTGCCTGTGCATGGCCACGTCGATCGCCCGGTGTACATGTGCATGTTGACGTCAATAAACTCGTGTGCATGTGCGTGTTCACGTCAGTCACCCCGTGCGCATGTGGTTGTCACCTCCACGTCGATCAGACCGTCAGTGCATGTACATGTTGCCTACGTGTCCACCACCCCGTCTCTACATGTGCGTGTCGACCACCCTGTCGAACACATCTCACACCCAACCCATATGGTTACGTAGCTCATACATACATATCATTGCCGATACATGCATGTGAGTTCGGCCCTGCCGTAAGCCGGTGAGTGAAAAGAAATAACTCTGAGTTAACTCGGACCAAACGGCTCGACGATGACACGTCAACGCCGTCGCCCCCTTCTTCCCACCAGCAATTCCGCACGGCGTCAACACCTCTGGCCCTTCAAACCACCAGTAGTTCCCTCAACTGCCAGGGGTCGCTACAGGGGTACCATAACGCCAAGGACATCTTATTTATATATATATACACATATATGAACCGACAGTCTGTTGAGTTTTCCATCTGGTGTGGGTGAGTGGTATATATGAACCGACAGTCTGTAGAGTTTTCCATCTGGTGTGGGTGAGTGATAGTCTGCTTTGATTGTCCAGTTGATGTAGCTCAGTGGTTAGAGCACCTTTTGGAAATGGCCATTCAATTTGTGGTATGAGTTTGCGGGTTCAAATCGGCAGCCTCATGCGGCAGGCCGTTAGAATGATGCACGACTGGAGACACACCCCTTGGGCTGACGCTTGGTCAGCTATTGCAGACACTGCCTGCGCACCACCCAGGGGACTGTCTATGGTGTTGTATGTTGGGTCCTGTTAGTAGACAGACTCTGGTGGAGGAAATGGTTGGGGAACCTGCAGTAGGGGCTGTCTGAGGGGGATCCTCGAAGATAGGATGGTCTGGGTCCCATAAATTAGTTGCTGACTGTAGATAGGTACCTGTCGTGGGTCCAGAAACCGATCACTACAACAATCTGGACACCTTGAGGGAAGCGGTTGGTGCCCACCTCAGGGTATCAGTTGTCGCGCAGCCATTATTGCTTAACCACAGCCGGGGTTAAGGTGGATTATCACTTACAGTGTAATCAGTTAGGGGATTCTGCAGACTGTTGAGGGTTCAGCCTCCTCAACTCCGACGAAACACTTTGTCACAGCCCCTCGTTTGTTGTCCTCTTCTCCCTCCCTCTCTGCCTACGGTTTACCGGGCAGCTCTCTCTATATATGTGACGATATATGACGATATATATATATATATATATATATATATACCGTAGGCAGAGAGGGAGGGAGAAGAGGACAACAAACGAGGGGCTGTGACAAACTGTTTCGTCGGAGTTGAGGAGGCTGAACCCTCAACAGTCTGCAGAATCCCCTAACTGATTACACTGTAAGTGATAATCCACCTTAACCCCGGCTGTGGTTAAGCATCAACGACTGCCCGACAACTGATACCCTGAGGTGCGCACCAACCACTGCCCTCAAGGTAGTAGCAACGACTGCCCGACAACAGATACCCTGAGGTGCGCACCAACCACTGCCCTCAAGGTAGTAGTACCTTGAGGGCAGTGGTTGGTGCGCACCTCAGGGTATCAGTTGTCGGGCAGTCGTTGATGCTTAACCACAGCCGAGGTTAAGGTAGATTATATATGTATATATACTATTTGACGATATATATATATATATATATATATATATATATATATATCGTCACAAACAGAACTGCCCGGTAAACCGTTGGCAGAGAGAGAGAAGAGGACAACAAACGAGGGGCTGTGAC